CCAGCCACATACACCTGAGCTGGCGGGTTTGAATCCAGCCCAGGCCTGCCAAACAACAATGGCGGCTGCAACCAAAAAATGAATATCCTTTTTCAAAAAGGATACAATTTGGCTTGGCGAGGTGGCTCATGCTTGTAATCCTAGCACTCTGGGAGGCCAAGGCAGGTGGATAGCTTGAGCTCACAAGTTCAAGACCAGCCTGAGCAAAACTGAGACCCCATCTCTACTAAAAATAAAAAAAATGAAGCAAGAGGATCACTTGAGCCCAAGAGTTGGAGGTTGCTGCGAGTTATGATGCCCCGGCACTCTACCCAGGGTGACAGATTGAGACTCTGACTCAAAAAAAAAAAAAAAAAAAAAATATATATATATATATATATACACACACAATTCATTTGTTCCTTAGCATCTCCACCAAAAAAAAAATCCAACACAATTCTCCTAATCTCCCACCTCCAGCCAAATAGGCTCCCGGGCCATGACCCACCTGCTAAATCCCAATGCAAGACTTCAAGAGCTGGGAATGAATTAATTCCATTGCTTACTGGGTGCCTAAGGGTGGGAAGGAGTCCAAAGGATGAGTTCAGGGGACCCCTGCAGAGCTGGGCTAAGTCTTACTAGACAGATATAGGAGGAAACATGCAGTACTGCAGGGTAAGGGGACATAATCAGAGGGCTGGGGAAGGGTAGCCTGGCTACTTCTCTCATTCTTTATTAAGCACCCCCTGCATGCCAGGCCTTAAGAGTTTAATGATTGCATTCTACAAAGTATTCTTCATGTGAATGAGGAAGTTGAGTTCTTCATTCTTACACTCTCTTGAGAACTAAGGGCTGACTATGAAGGGGCTGGAGTCCACGTGTAAGATTGGGGTATGATGCCCTCCACACTCCCCGGCCTGTTGGTGAAGCCCTGAGCACTGCCTCTCGCATAGTAAGTGCTCAATGTGTGATTAGACATAAACTCAAACACATTACAGGATGTGTTGGGGTGGGGGAGCCGTGTATATATACAGGACGCAGAAGCCCCCAACCCCTTGCCAGTCCCCTGTCCCCCAGACGCCTTCTTGGTGCTCCCAGCTAGTGGCAAGTGTGAAATCGGCACCAGGCCGGCGGGGACAAAGGCCGCTGAGGGGGGTACTGTACATGTGATATCCCGGATTAAAGGGGCCTGCCATGCAGTGGGCCAGCAGCTGCAGCCCAGAACAGGTGCTGGGCACCGCTGCCCCGTGCACCTGCTCCACTCCTCCCAGCCCCCACCCACTGGGCCTGCCATTAAGGCACACAATGGAAGTCAACGAGGACAGTGATCTTGTTTTTTGTGTCTGAGCCATGCCTTTACATTAAAATAATGTCTAGATGAGAGGGGAGAGAGGCCAGGGAGGGCCAGGAGGGCACCCTGAAGGCTTCAATCCCCCCAAAGAGCTCCATTAGCTGGGCAGGTGCCCAGGAGTCCAGGCAGTTGAACGTATTAAAATCCCAGCCATTTGTTCATAAAGTAAGAGAAATTACCTGCATAATAATGATGCCAATAAAGCCTGCAAAATGCCAGGCCTCCCAACCACTTCACTAACTGACCCTCACCACTGAGAGGTCAGCCACGGGCCAGAAAATGGCAGAGATCAGTCTCCAACCTGGCCACCCTAAGCTCCAGGCCAACAGCCACAACCCTGAAACCTTCTCCCTCAACAGTCCCTCTCCAAAGAGCAGCCCCCACCACAGTGGCCTCCACCATTCAAGTTCTAAAAAGTCTTTCTCTCTCTTTCCAAAGAGTTTTAAACATATTTAGTATTATGTTTTGAAACACCAAGACAGAATTGTGCTTTCTCCCAGCAAAGATGTTTTCTGGTCTACATGCTAGGATTGAGCTGGAGATGGGAAAGGCAGACCTGAGAACCATTAATGGTTATAGTATGTTATTCCAAAGTGCCAGGCCTAGTGGCTCAGCACTGTAATCCCAGCACTCTGGGAGGCTGAGGCGGGTAGATCGCTTGAGCTCATGAGTTCCAAGACTAGCCTGAGCAAGAGCGAGACACCGTCTAAAAAATAGCTGGGCATTGTGGCACTGCCTGTAGTCCCAGCTACTTGGGAGGCTAAGACAAGAGAATCGCTTGAGCTCAAGAGTTTGAGGTTGCTCTGAGCTATGACGCCACAGCACTCTACTGAGGATAAGAAAGTGAGATTCGGCCTTGTTTGTTTGTTTGTTTTTTGAGACAGAGCCTCAAGCTGTCCCCCTGGGTAGAATGCTGTGGCATCACAGCTCACAGCAACCTCCAACTCCTGGGCTCAAGCGATTCTCCTGCCTCCGCCTCCCAAGTAGCTGGGACTACAGGTGCCACAATACCCACTTATATTTTGGTTGCAGCTGTCATTGTTGTTTGGCAGGCCCAGGCTGGATTCAAACCTGCCAGCTCAGATGTATGTGGCTGGTGCCTTAGCCATTTGAGCCACAGGTGCTGAGCCACTGCCCAGCTATTTTCTGTTGCAGTTGTCATTGTTGTTTAACTGACCCAGTTTGGGTTCAAACCCGCCAGCCTTGGTGTATGTGGCTGGTGCGCTGGGCCAAAAGTGAGATTCTGTCTTAAAAAAAAAAAGTTCTTAATCTTTAAACATGTGCTATCATAATCCTCTGAGGCTCAGAGAGGTTAAACAGCTTGCCCAAGGTCACACAGCATAGCAGAACAAGTACCAATTACCACTTTTGCGAGAGATTACCATGTACCAAGCACTTTGCCAGGTGCTTTGTATACACATACTTTCACTCACCCTATACCAAAATCCCACAAGGTGTCTTATGCTCATTTTAAAAGATGGGGAAACTGAGGCTCAGAGAAAGGAAATACAGCTCAAGGTTTGAAAAAGTTCTCAAAACAGGATTTGGAAGCAGGTAGGGGGTCTGAACAACATCCTGTCTGGCTAGGGAGGGGGTGGGCGGGGCAAAGTGGAGCAGGGTAGGCCCCTTCACACCTGGCCGTAACAGCAAGGTGTTGGTTGCACCTTTCCTATATCTAACTCCAGCCCATTTGGCTGTGAAATTGGGACTGCAGAGAGATCTGTAAAGGTATCTATTCTGCCCATCTGCTTAGCTGATAAAGGAATGTATCTGCCAAACATTTGCAGAGAACCAGGCCTCTGAACTTGAGCTAAAAGTTAGGAGACTCAGCACCCAAGTGACCACAACTTTGAAAATAAGAACACCAAATCCAGACTCACATAAGCTAATAGAGAAAGCAGCAGGGATGGGGAGTAGGGTGGCCAGTCTGCAGGGTTACTCACCAGTATGGGTTCGGACATGGCCCTGCAACAGCCAGGGCCTGGAGAAGGCCTTCCCGCAGGTTGCGCACACGCAGGGCAGTGTGTGGCTTCGGATGTGCATCTTGAGGGCACCCAGGCTGAGGTATTCCTTGTTGCAGTATTTGCAGTTGAAAGCCTTTCGGGACTGGGGGTCTTTGGCCTCAGAGAGCTGGACCAGCTGCTTGGGCACTTGGCCCAAGCCGGGGAAGGTCGCGTAGGCTTCGGCCTCCAGGGAAGAGGCTGAAGTGGAGGAGAAGGATGATGGAGCTGGAGAGGGTGGGCTGGGGGGTTGGGAGCCTTTCCCACTGTCCTCATCCGACAGTGAGGTCAGCTCTGCCACCTTGGGGCTCTCCTGGGGGCGGAAGGAGGCCCACCCAATTGGCTGCACTTGGGGTGCCAGGAGAGAGTCCCAGATGAGCATGGGCAGTGAAGCTGTGGGGTTGAGGATCTCCGGAGGTGGGATGGCTGCCAGCAGGTGGGCCTGGTCGTAAGGCTGCTGGAAGGTAAACTCTGAGAGGAGAAAGAAAAGAGAAAAGGAGGGTCAGGTGTTAATTAGATCATTCAGTCAGTCAACAAACAGCCCACTGCGGCACAGGGACTGAGGCGGCTGAGCAAGGCTGGCTGGCAATACTTACCAGATGAATAAAATCATGAGCAGGGACATACCAGGTTCCTGCCCAGGCAGGGCCTCCTCCTCACCAGGTCACCCAACCTGAGTCTCTCACTGGAAAGGCCCCCCTCAGCCCCCAGCTTAAGAGACTCAGGCCCAGGTCTCTTTCCTCATCCGGACTCCCCCAAGTCGCCAGCCTGAACCCTCAGTTACCCCAGCTCCCCAATCTCCACAGCTCGTGAGCCACCGCCCTGCCCCAATCCCCCTCCTCAGACGCCCCTCTACCCCCTCCCCGCAGCCCTCCGGACTTCGGACTTCTGACGGCCACCGCCGGCAGGCTGTCCTGGCACAAGCCGCTTCCTCTCGTCCCCACACTCCGAGCTTCTCCGCCTCGCGCCGGCTACAAAGTCCCCTCAGCCCGGCCCACTGCCCGCTCCACAGACCTGCAGTAGCCCAGAGCCGGGATCTGGACCGCATCTCCCTACCTCAGCCCCCCGATTCTCCACGTCACCCGGCTCGACTTCGCCCCAGGCCCACTCCCTCAGACAGCCCCACGCCGCCTCGCAGTGTCCCCCACGCCCCTCTCCGGCCTCCCGCACTCGTCCGCGCACCTGGATTAGAGTCTTGCAGCTCGCTATAATTGGGCTTCCGACGGGGGTCGGAGGGCTTCCTGACAAGAAATGAGCGCGGCATGGTGGCTGAAGCGGCCGGAGGGTCGCTGGGTCGCGCTACGGTCGCGAAGGGAACCAATCGCGAGGCCAGGCAGCGGCGCTGTGAGTGGAGACGCGCCGCCAACTCCTTTAAATAGTCCAGCAGCGAGTAGGGCGGAGCATCTCCGGGCACGCCCCTTTGTCACCTTTGATCCAATCACAGCGACGCCTCCGCCGCAGGTCACGCCCCGAGCAGGTGCGCCGCGGGCTGGCGGGGTTTGCGCCGCGTGGCGTCGGGAGCCCGGGCGGGGGCTGCTCCGAGGCCCGGCAGCTAACTTATCCCAGATCGCCCCCGAAGTGGACTGTCGCGGGAGGGACGACGGGCTCAGCGGCCCCCTCAAGAGGTCGGACCCCAGAGGGCCGCTGTGAGTCTGCCAGCTCCATGACTCCTGATCCGACAGTTTCTGGCGCCCCCTGGCGCTGCGAGCCGCGGACCCGGACACCTGACCTTCCGAAACCCTTCTTCACCTCCGCCTCGGGCTCGGGCAGGGGGCAGAAATTTCCTAGGCCCGGCTGGCGCCTCGTTAGAGCTTGGCATTGATTAGAGAAATACACATGCTGAGAAGGCTAGGAGAAGGACACCCTCACGTGAAACGCCACCGTCTTTTTGCAAAGCAATCGTGCATCATCGAGCGAAATACATTCGTTCCTTCACTTTGCAGAGGTATACCGAGCGCCCACGACACGCCAGGAACGGTTCCTGGAGCTGGGGACACAACTCTGAACCAAACATTCGTGGCCTCTGCCGAAGGGTAGCTCCTCGTCGGGTGAGGGAGACAGACGAAGTAAACAAACAATTACAATGCAAAGGGCCGTGTGCTTTGATGAGGAGAAACAGGACGCTGTGACGGTCAAGAGGCGGATCACCTGGCAGGGGTGGGGGGGCGGGAGGGAATTGGAGGTGTCTTCCCAGAGGAAGTGAAGAAATATCAAAGGGGAAGGCCGGAGGTAAGAATCAGTAACTATTCCAGAGGAACTACTTGAGAGCAACTCCCACCCTAGGGTGGAGTGGGCCGGCCAGGAGGGGTCAGACTGGCCAGGGCTTCAGCATCTCGGAGGAGTTTGGACTTTGCCTCAAAGGCAGCGGGGAGCCATAGAAAGATTTTCAGTTAAGGAGAGACCTGTTAAGAATTTCGTTGATTGTCAGATACATCAAATAAAGTGGTAAAATCGCACACAAAAATAATAATTTCGTTGAAAAAAAGATCACTCTAGGCAGAGCTGAGGTGAGTCTCCTCCCTTCTCTGAGGATCATCTGTGTCTAAGGCTCTAACATGGCTCCACAGGGGATGCTGACCACACACCGGACCCAGCAGAGGGAAGGGGAGCACCCTCACCCCATCTCCTGTGACGCAGGCCAGGCCAGGTGAATGGGCACAGAAATAAATCCCACAGGTTTGGTGGTACTTGTTTCCACCTGTTAAGCAAGACTAGGAAAACCCATGTCCTCCCCACTTGCCAACTGTTGTCGGTTTTGGTCACTACGTGCTGGCATTACAGCTGTGAACAAAAGTAGCCTCCTCTCCTAGTCGGTGCTGGAGGTGGTGTGTGGGAGATAGGCACTGGGCAGTCATTATGTAGAATACAGCCTCTCCCATGTCAGTTCAGCTCTGGTGGTGATTCCCCACCTGAAACCAGAGGGAGCAATCAGACCACCTATCTCCTCTGCACAAAACCCTCCCTGACCAGGCTGGGTGGGGTGGCTCACACCTGTAATCCTAACACTCTATGAGGTGGGTGGATTGCTTGAGTTCAGGAGTTCAAGATCAGCCTGAGCCACAGCGAGACCCCTGTCTCTAAAAAAAAAAAAGTAGCCGGGTGTTGTGGCGGCGCCTGTAGTCCCAGCTACTTGGGACGCTGATGCAAGAGGATTACTTGAGCCCAAGAGTTTGAGGTTGCTGTGAGCGATGAGGTCCTGTGGCACTCTCACCAAGGGCGACAAAGTGAGACTGTCTCAAAAAAAATAAAAATAAGAACCCTCCCAAACGCCTGTCTCAGAGTAAAAGCCAAAGTGTCCTATTGCTCTGCCCCTGCTTGCCTGTCTTGAACCTTTCTCCTTCCTCTATGCATAGTGATCCTATTCTCCCCACTTCTGTTCCTGCAAGATCCTAGTCCTTTCCCACCACAGGACCTTGGCACCTGTGGTTCATCCTCTTTTTCCCTAAATCTCTCTTCTCCTAAATCGTCACCTGGCTGTCTTCTTTTCATTTTCTGTTTCAGTAACTTCACCAACTGCTTGGCTTCATGTGTAATGACAGAAATGCAAATTAAAACCACAGTGAAAAAAAATTGCAAAATAAAAGAAGATAAAACCACAGGGAGGTACCATTTCATACCCATCAGAAGGACAAAAAATAAAAATTTGGTTCATATCAAGTGTTGATGAGGATGTGAGGATCAATGGGTGTAGCCACTTTGGAATAGTTTGGCACAGCTAGATACAGGTGACTCTCCCCTCCCAGCAAGTCCCCAGGGCACCGTACCCCCGGGGTTCTCAACCCTGGCTGCACATCAGATTTCCTTAGGGAATTCTCATAGGGAATAGTTAAAACACCCAATTCTGCACCCAAGGCCCACACACATCCTCTTTCAGTTAGCCTGGGTGGTGCTTCTGGTGTCAGCATTTTTTAAAAACTCCCTCTGGTGATTCGTTTAAGCAAGCAAAGTTAATAATGGCTGCCTAACCTCAAACCCAGAAGAAACAAAAGAGAATATTCATTGCAACCTTTTTCTTCTTTTCTAGTAAGAAATTTAAAACTATAGCCGGGCATTGTGGCAGGGCACGGTAGTCGCAGCTATTGGGGAGGCTGAGGCAAGAGAATCGCCTAAGCCCAGGAGTTGGAGGTTGCTGTGAGCTGTGACTCTACCGAGGGTGATAAAGTGAGACTCTGTCTCCAAAAAAAAAAAAAGAAAAAAGGAAAAGAAAAGAAATTAAAAACTGTCTCAGTGCACGTAGCTTAGTGGTTAGGTCACCAGGCACATACACAGAGGCAGGCGGTTTCAAACCAGCACTGGCCTGCTAAACAACAATGACAACTGCAACAACAACAACAAAATAGCCAGGCGTTGTGGCTGGTGGCTGTGGTCCCAGCTACTTGGGAGGCAGAGGCAGGAAACTCACTTGAGCCCAGGAGTTGGAGGTTGCTGTGAGCTGTGATGCCACAGCACCCTACGCAGGGCAA